CTCTCTCTCTCTCTCTCTCTCTCTCTCTCTCTCTCTCTCTCTCTCTCTCTCTCTCTCTCTCTCCAATCATGCCCAACTTTCAGAGATTTTATAGACTAGGGTAGCCATACTCACCTTCATGTTTCGCCTTGTGGGGCTTACCAATTACACCCTGCCAAAAAAGCAAATGGCTGTGTCACAGCAATCTTACAAAACTTGATTTACATTCCCTGCAAAGCAACGTTCTATTCTTTCCAGGGTAACAAAACATCTCGAAAGGTGCTAAGAGGCTTACACTGAACTAGGAAAGGGACAAAGAGATCATACGTGGTTTTAGTAAGGTCTATCTTGAAAAGCTTTCCATTTTCTTTGTAAGAATAGCAGTATAAAGTATTTACATATTTTCTATCCTATCTTTTTTTTACAAGCTGTCTGCTTTTTACTAAATGTTCCACGTTATTTTTGTTTAGTTTTTCTTCTAACTTGCAGGGAGCCCTCATTTATCAACTGCCTCATTCAGCAATCATTCAAAATTATGGCAGCACTGAAAAGTAGGCTTACAATCAGTCCTTCAATTTGCAACTATTGCAGTGTCCCCATGGTCACATAATCATAATTAGGGTGTTTCACAACCAACATACATTTATGGCAATCACAGCATCTCACAGTCATGATTGTTATTTGTGACCTTCCCAGATGGCTTCCAACAAGAAAAGTCAATGTGGAAACCAGCAATTTATATTGGTAAATCTGGACAACATAAGGGTCATTTTATCATACTTGATGGACTTGTAAAAAAAACATACAAATTTGGGGTTCAGATACATACAGTGATACAAAGAATTCCAAAAAACAAGATTTAACTGAAAGCAGAACATTTTTCTTGGGATTAATGGTCAGACAACTTGAAAAAAGCCATGGAAGATTATTTTTATATATGAGTTTTGCTGTGAGACCACCATATGTGCAAAAATTGAAAGATTCTGAAACAACCTCAAATGGAGGAATGGTTGGTAAAGATGATGGAATTAGCAGAGATGGCAAAATTAACTCATTTGTTTAGAGAAAGATCAACTACTACATTTATTAGTGACTAGAAATCCCTTATGGACTTTTTGCTGAAAAAATAAAAAAAATGAACTGATGATTTATGGATTTGTTGATTAGAAAAGTAGAATATGAAAAAAGGAAACTTTGATGTAATCATATTTATAAATGTAATATATTTAGGGTTGCCAGGTGTCCACTGTTTGAGTGGACAGTCCACTTTTTTCACATTATGTTCACTATTTTTTTTCACAAAATAGTGGACATTTTTTTTATTCAAAAGCTTTATGATGAAATGGTACGTAATCTAAAGCTGTACAGTCTACTTTTTTTACTATTTAACCCCCCCCCCCCGCTTGTCCGCTATTTTTTGGAAGCAGACCTGGCAACCCTAAATATATTCAGCATGATCATGTGATGTTTCACTTAACAATCACGCCATTTAGCAATGGAGCTGCAGGTCCCAATTGCAGTCGGTAAGTGAGAACTGCCTATATTTTACAATTCATTTGCAGCCACCCTTTTATTTCAAGACAAGCATGCAACCACCTAGAAACTGCAACTGGTTCAAGATGCAGCAGTGCACATGGTAATGGAGGCCGCTGGTTATATACAGGTAACACCTCTGTTGCATGAGCTGCACTGGCTTCTGCATTCTTTCTGAATGCAATTCAAGGTGCTGGTCATCATCTTTAAAGTCCTGTATGGCACACAGCCAGGTTATCTGAGAGATCACCTTTCCCTGAGAACCTCTACCTTTCCTAACTGGTCAGAGTGGGCATGCTGCTAGTCCCTTGCACTAAATATTTGATGGGACCTAGGAAGCCTTTTCCATGGCAGCCCCTGTGCTAATGGAACCCCCTTCTCCCTAACTTTCCATAAAACTCTGAAGATCTGTCTTTTCTCCCAAGAGACTGTATAACTTGGCACCAGGTTTTCAGTGTTTTTAACATGCTTAGTTTTATAGTTGTTTATAGTTTTACACTTTTATTATGGTTTTTATATTGTTGGGAGCCACCCAGAGTTGATTATAAGATGAGCGGCTATATAATTTTTTTTAAATAAACAAATATCGTGCGCTTACAAAATCTTACAACTGTCTGCAAATTTTAATATAGTAAGTATATATGGAAGGTTATAACAGCTGTCTCTGTAAGCTGTTTTTTCAGCTGCCTTCCATAACAGAGACACGTACAATTTCCATCCCTGTCAGTTAGAGAAAGCTGCTATCTCATTACCAGAAACTACACATTTCCCATTCTTGCTAGACACTGTTTTCAGACTCCAGCTGAAGACAAGAACTTCATCAGAAGAGAGCTGGAAAGAAGCAACCAGGACCATAGTAAAATAACTTATGACTTAATGTAATGGTATGAGGGAATGACCTTGGGAGTTGCAGGGTCCTATTCCTTCTGCTGCAGAAAGAATGAGAATGTGCAAAAGTCTCAGAAGAGATTTTCCTTATTTTCTTGGAGAATAAAACCAAGAGGGGAAGAAATGTACTTTCAGACTTGCAAGATTCTACTAATATAACCTTACAATAAGGACAGAGCTAATATTCCTGGATGTGCTTGTTGTTTGTACTACCTCACAAGACTGACACTTATGGAGAGAAGAGAACATGCTAGCTTTTACTGAAATGGAACCACCACCCACCACTAATTTCTATTATTTAATTCCATCCTGTATATAACACATGAGAAGGTTAATGGCCTTTTTGCCGCAGGAGTTCTTTTTCTGCTACTTTTCAAATTGCACAGAGAAATCACCTTTGCTGAAGGAAAAACACACACATACCTATTATGTCTCTTTAAAAGCTCACAAAAGAGTACAGCAACATTGTGCAGGAGGAAATAGCCTTGTGAAAGTTTTCCAATTCTTATTTGGAATTTAGTATGTGTGGGGGTGGTTTTATTTTGGAGGAAAAGTTACCATTTTAAAAGTCAACATGAATGCTCCCATGGGAACAATTAAGAGCAGTGCTACTTGACCTCTGGAGTCCAAAATATAAATGCAAATGTTTAAAAATCTTCCATCTTTTAGGAAAATGGGGTAGCCATGAGGAAGGGATAGGAATGTGCTGTTAACTGTCCCTGGTGATATGGCAACAAATCCACACAGCTTCCACACATTTTTAAACAGGATCCCTAACAGTAATAAACATATATAAGGATGGTCCACAAATGCCATTGAACACAATAGATTATTTGAGTGCTGAGGAAATCAATTGTTTTAAATAATGGATATTTTTCTCCCACAAGACAAACGAATAACAATGAAGCATATCTCATGTCACAAAACAATAGACAGAAAAAAGCCTCCCGAGACTCACAAATCCCAGTCTTGTGCTTGAGTCACTAAACTTGAGGGCAAGTCTCAGGAACAGGTCCGAAATATTCTGATGCCTATAAGCTGGAATAGGACACAGCTCTGCATCACATTCTTCCTGATTCTAGACCTTGCCTCACTCCTTTTCCATTCTGTCTCCATTCTGTCTCCCCATATAGACAAATACCTTATATGTGAAGGTTGAGAGTTGAGCATAAATACTAATAGAATGAAACAAATATGAAATTTGATGTTCTGGAATCTCACCAAGAATAAATCCCCTGGATTCAAAATCACAAATAGCAGGAGAAGCAGCAATTGTGCTGTCATAGTGGTGTTCAGGGACGGATGAAATAGAGAGGTTTTGTGCACTGCTTTTGACAGAACAAACAGTTCCTGATCAATACATCTGAAAGCAAAGGTCTTTGTGTTAGGTATACTCAGCAGGATGGAGATTGCACCATGGGGATAAACACCGAATCATAACAGGCGGCTAGAAGCCAAAATAAAAAAGATTTAGTGTAAGTCCCCAGTGGGACCATGAATATTATTTATGTGTCCCAGGCACTCTTCTATCAGCAGAAAATTGGCAATAATGCCATGTTGGGGGGATCCCAGCTACACCTGTATAAAAGATGCAGAGAAACTTTAAAGGTGTATGTTTTCAGCGGGGGAAGCTTTCTTCTAGCACTAGCACTGATGATGTTACCTTGTTTGGGTAATGAAATATCTGCAAAAGACAACAAAGTTCAGAGAGCATCAAGGATCCTCATTTCAACCCTGATCTACAAATATTCTACTTCATTAGAAGCTTTCTTCTGACCTTTCAGTTACTGAAGAGGCCTACTGGGGTCCAGGTTCTGATGATGAAAGTTGTTGCCCACATCTCCCTGCCATGTTACCACATCTACCCATAAACCACCCACAGGTTCCTCCTCTGTGGCTATTAAAAGCTCAATGGAAATAAATGTGGAGTCCGTATGGGAGGAAAGTCTTTTTGCCAAAGCCAGGGTCCAAATCACACTCTCTTCTGCTTCCTTCCTCCCAGAACATGTTGTTGTTAATTGCAAAGTCATGTCCGACCCATCGCGACCCCATGGACAACGTTCCTCCAGGTCTTCCTGTCCTCTACCATCTCCTGGAGTCCATTTAAGTTCACGCCTACTGCTTCAGTGACTCCATCCAGCCACCTCATTCTCTGTCGTCCCCTTCTTCTATTGCCCTCAATCTTTCCCAGCATTAGGCCCTTCTCCAGTGAGTCCTTCCTTCTCATTAGGTGGCCAAAGTATTTGAGCTTTAACTTTAGGATCTGGCCTTCTAAAGAGCAGTCAGGGTTGATCTCTTCTAGGAGTGCCTTGACAAAGCATTCTGAGGACAAAAACAGACATCCCCAATACTTTCAACAGTTACCAAATTGGTATTGGATTTTCAGCTACCAGTCAAATTTCACATACCTCTTTTGTACAAAAATAAACAGCAGCCATGTGGAATCTGACAGATTTACTCTTGTTCTGCTTGTTTTGGATACAAATGATGGTGTTGCAGTCAGAGAATAAAGATTCTAGCTCATAAGGGTTTTCTATCAAACAACATAAGTTTGTTTCTTATAATAAGAGCTGCCTCATGAGGGTCTTGGTCTCCATTACTGTTGGGATAGTCAGCCTCACCTAATATACCATAAGTATTTATGACCATGAACATGTGGACAAGCCTGTGGTTCTTGTGTTTGTCCTGACCATAATGAGAAATTTTCTGATCATAATATTGACTTCCTGGAGGCCTTCCTTTTTATATAAGTTTTATTCATTTTTTTAAAAATTACAATCTTTGAACTTAGTAAACAACATGTTGTCTGGGTTCACATATTTAACATTAACTTCTTCAATATAAAATCTATTCAATACTGCACAATCCAGTATTTTTTCCTTGATCTTCCTTTCTTCCCCATATTTTTTCCATTTCCCCCCTCATTAGACAATTACAATTCTTGGTACTATTGATGTATACAAAATTAGATATAGACATTTTCATTGTATTTTACTAATATTTTACAAATAACAATAATATCGATTCAAAAGTCAATATCCTGTTTTTCATGCTCTTGTTAAAGTTTGATTTCCCATCAATATTTAAAGTATTTTTGTCATTTATGATTTTCTCAATATTATTTACATTTATATAGTTAAATTTTATTCATACCAATCCTCCTCTTATTTTCAAATTTCCCATATCAAAAGAAGAAGAAAAATGCTATTTTAATTCTAAATCATATCTTCCATTCTAAAAAAACTGGTTATATCTAAGGGTCATAAATTCTTTTAATCATTTCAAACAGGTATATTAAACAGATATACCCTCTGATAGATCATATCCTCTGGGTTTTTTTTAATCTAACTCTCACTTTCTTTCTTTGCCAAGTAGCTTTCCAGGCCAAGGCAATTAAATCACCCCAAAATTTTCTTTCTATTTTTGTGAAAGTTGCTTGGCATGAGGAAGACAATATAGGTAGAGTATTTTGGGGGGGAAACTCCACCCATCCATTTTCTAGAATCTTCTTCCTTGTTCTCAGGTGTATTTTAGACAAAAGGAGTAAGGGGTCTTTTGTATTTTCATTGTTATAGGTAGGTCTTGCAGTATTTTATTTGTATATGGCAGTCCATATTTCCCTTCTCCTATCTCCTCCATCTCTAGGTCCATTTCTTCTGCTTCATCCTCTGTTTCTGGTTTATTTGTTCATACTTTGTAGTCGTTATCTGGGAACTTTGAAGTTGTAGCTTCAATTTGGAGATTTAGTCATTTATATCATCTAGGTTATTTTTAGTCTCATTATGATTTCTTTTTCTGTCCTCTTTGTGTGCAACAATTGTTTGATGAATTAGCTGTAGCATGGAGAATATTTCCTTCTGAAAGGTATTTGTTTTTTCTTGAGGCATCATTCCTAGAAATCCTCTAGTGTCACCAGTCTCAGTAAGAGTGGAACAAAGTTTCCTCTTGTTTGCTAGTCTTTACAGTAGTCTTTATAATCCAGTCCTAATGGTAGTATTTTATAATAATCCTTTGTCTCAAGTATCCTGAAAATTATCAGTCTGGCAAGGTTGTAATTCACAATGTTCCAAGTGTTCAAAATGTTCAACCTCCCTGCAGCCAGACTATTCAAAAGTCAATGTTTTCTTTCTCTTCCACTTGCTCTTGAGATTAAAAGTCCAAGGTCAGTGGGTATTTATAGTCCAAGAAGGTCAGGATAATAAATATGCCAAAATATTTTCCTTTATTGCCAGATGTTCTCCCTTCAGTTGAAAGTCACCAAGCAGCCAAGGGGCTAGTTATAGTGCTGTACTCAAATCCACTACTAGATGTCAATCAAAGTCCATTTTCCACTCTTAAAACAAAGGGTTGATTTCTTATATTTCACCTGAATCGTTTTTTTCCAAAGAGAAAATCTTAACAATTATCTCAGTTCTCAAATTTATCAAAACTGTAGTTTTGTATTACTTTCACTTCAGTATTGTGTATTTCTGTCCTCCATAAAAAATTTAAAATGCCGCTTCCGTTCACATCCAGAGGTTTTTAGCTTCTTGGGAGCCTTTCCCAGGAAATTCAGTTGCAAAATAGTAAAGAAAGGATCAATTTTCTCACCCACTTCCAAACATGCTGTTTACAATTAAAGCTTTTGTTCTGTTGTCAGCAGCTAATGGCCAGCTGCAGAGGTGTGGTCGGTCTTTCGCCTGCCAGTTTAGAGGGTTTTCCTTAGATCAGATGGAAAGACCACTGTCTCTCTGTGATCAACAAGGCACCCCTCCTTCTTCATCGCCTCTTCGGGGCGACTTTAGGCCCTTTTCAGGGCCCCCAGCAGGGCGAAATCAGGCACTGAAGGCAGAGCCCTGCCTTCCTGCATCCGTTTTACCGCAATGCAAAACCGGAAATCTTGAGGTTTTCCTTTTTGATTGAAAGACAATCTAGATCAGTGATGGCAAACCTTTTAGACACCGAGTGCCCAAACTGCAACCCCAAACCCACTTATGCATCGTCGGGTGCCGGATGGGTGTGGCCCATTAGGTGGGTGTGGCCTATTGGGTGGGCATGGCTGTGGTGGTAACAGCAGACTGGGTGGGACTAAAAAGTTCAATCAATCAATTCTAACTTTGCAAGATCTTTTTTTTTCCCACGAGAAGTTGAAATTGACTGATTGATTGAACCTTTTTTTTTTTGTACACGGCAGCGAAGGCCTAAAGTGGAAAGGTTTTATAAAACCCAGCTGAAGGCCTAGGACTGGGGCGATGGCGCGCATGCCCACAGAGAGGGCTCCGAGTGCCGCCTCTGGCACCCGTGCCATAGGTTCGCCACCACTGATCTAGATAGAATAGTCTTGCGTGTGAGTTTCAAAATTAGCCAATCCAGTGTATCTTGTGCCTCATTAGATTTGTAAATGTTCTCCATATATTTCCTAGTGAATTTTATAAAAATTCATTCATGAATCTAATTTTATGCTGCAATTTTGCACATCTTTTATTGGAAGTAAGTACCGTGGCATTGATGGAACTTTTCATTCTGTATAGCCATGTATTGGAATCTACCTATATACAAATGTATCTATTGCATAACTGACTATAATTCATGGTGCATGGAAGAGAGCAGTATCCTGCCTTGAGCAAAAAGATTGGAAACTCCATGGAGGTACAGCTGGAGCATCTGGATTGGATGTGCCTCATGGACTGCTTTCCACAAACAGAATATGTGCCAGTGTGCATTTAATTTAGTTGTGCTTTTCCATGGCCAAAGCATATGCTGGGAAGGTATTCATTCTTATTGTGTTTTTTAGTTTATTGAACTGACTAGTGACTATGTTTAGATGGGGCATTTCTCCTAGAGCTGCTAACATTTGGGCCATTTGGATAAAGAGACATTTGAAAGATGGCCGTGTTACATCTGTGGAGAAGACAATGGGAAAATTGCAAAGACAGCCAATTAGGTCTAGTGTTTAAAGTACCAGGCTAGAAACCAGGAGACCATGAGTTCTAGTCCTACCATAAAAGCCAGGAAGATGATTTTGGGCCAGTCACTCTCCCTTAATCCAACTCACCTCATGGGGTTGTTGTTGTGGGGAAAATAGGAGGAAGAAGGTGTGCATTCAAATTCTTGAAGAGCATTCAGAAGTTACAGGTGGATATAGAGTGTGGCGGTGCAGGCAGTTCTTGGGGCCCCTAGAATGGCCCATGTTACATCACTGCTTCGTGAGCTGCAGTGATTGCCGATCTGCTTCCAGATACAATTCAAAGTGTTGGCTATCATTCAAAGTTCTGCATGGCATGGGTCCAGGCTATTTGTAAGAA